GTAATAGTTATATCAACTAGTGGCACTGGATTAGCCTTCTTTTGTCACCCGAGTCCACAGGCTGATTTCTAGAGATATGCCATTCATATTATTTGGACGGCAGTTCCCAGAATTCTCCAGGAATTTCCCAGGAAGAATTCTCGGATTTCTAGCCCACGTATCTACACTGATAGAAACCTAAATTTCGCTCACCTGGGTCAAGGCCTATCTTGGAGGCTACTGTGGTGCTTTCTGGGAATTGTAGTTCTCTCTGGGCTTCCACAGAGCCTAAATGGCAGGGAGACTGCACTTCCTAGGAAGCACGGTGGCAGTTGGTCTACAACTTTTCAAAGAATTCAAGAATAAAACTTCACAAAGAAACGGCTGAAGCAGCCTGGGGTTGCCTTCTCCTTTGTAAAGATTCATACGCATTAATGGTTCCCAACATTGACTATCCCAGGTATTTTTTTGGACTGCCGTTCCCAGAAGCCTTCACCGCCAGGATTCTTGGAAGTTGTAGTCCAAAAACACCTGGGTGACCCAAGGTTGGGAACCACCGATGTCTGTTCTGGCACAAAAGACGCTTGACTGTTTTCTTGAAGGTTTGAGCCGACATGGAGGAAGGAAGGAAGGAAGCACTTTGTGGTTGCCAGGCAATTGCTCAATTGGCTCTGCCACCATTTCCAGGTCGGGGCTAGAAGGTTGTGGGGAGCCCTCGCTGTCTCCAGTTGAATGTGGCTATTTGAGGGGAAAACAACAACAGAAGTGGCTTGTTTCATAAAGATATGCAACCCTCCGCGGCAGCTTTCAAACGGGAAGGGGAAGTGAGAGCAACGTTGTATTTGTCCGAGTCTCTGTGGTCAGCTAATGGTCAGCTGGGCATCCCCTGCTATTTCCTCTTGAGTGGTCAGCTAATGGTCAGCTGGGCATCCACTGCTATTTCCTCTTGAATGCCTTACCTTTTATCCATCTCATCAGCCAACACAAGGGGAATATGGGTGTTTGGATCCTAATTATTTCACCCGTACTCAGAGGAGCCATCCTTTTAAGAAGCTCAGCAAGCACATTCCGGTTGATAGATTAGTATTCCACATCCATTTGGAACCAGGGAAAAAATGATTTTTTTTGTTTACCTTTACTGCCTTACCTTTTATCCATCTCATCAGCCAACACAAGGGGAATATGGGTGTTTGGATCCTAATTATTTCACCTGTACTCAGAGGAGCCATCCTTTTAAGGAGCTTAGCAAGCACATTCCGGTTGATAAACTAGTATTCCACATCCATTTGGAACCAGGAAAAAATGATTTTTTGCTTTGTTTCAGATGCCATTGACCCTCTGCCTTACCTTTTATCCATCTCATCAGCCAACACAAGGGGAATATGGGTGTTTGGATCCTAATTATTTCACCTGTACTCAGAGGAGCCATCCTTTTAAGGAGCTTAGCAAGCACATTCCGGTTGATAAACTAGTATTCCACATCCATTTGGAACCAGGAAAAAATGATTTTTTGCTTTGTTTCAGATGCCATTGACCCTCCCGACGGAGGCTTTGTAGACTGGAGTTTCAAAGGGCTTGACCTGCAAAGCCATGCAGGAGAACTCTGAAGCGGATGTCTCTTTGGGTATGTCATTGGAGGTTGTCATCTGCATTTTGGGTACCAGGATGCAGAGCCCAGGTTCAGCAGTTCAGTCCCCCATTATGTCTTGACGGAGATGAGCCAGCCTGTGTAGCCTTGGGCAAGCTGCACAGTCCCAGAGCAAACCCCCCCCCCCAGAAGAGGAGAATGGTTAACCACCTCTGAGTATTCTGTATCTAGGAAACCCTGCTGTAAGTCAGAATTGACTTGATGGCATGCAGTTATTTATTATTATGTTTCCAACAGGCTCCTAAAGATAAGAATTGTCAAAGCATCTGTAATGCCCAGGGATAGAGTATTGCACATAATGGGTAAAGGTAAAGGTAAAGGTTCCCCTTGACAATTTTTGTCCAGTCGTGTTCGACTCTAGGAGGCGGTGCTCATCCCCGTTTCCAAGCCATAGAGCCAGCGTTTGTCCGAAGACAATCTTCCGTGGTCACATGACCAGTGCGACTTAGACACGGAACGCTGTTACCTTCCCACCGAGGTGGTCCCTATTTATCTACTTGCATTTGCATGCTTTCGCACCGCTAGGTTGGCGGGAGCTGGGATAAGTGACGGGAGCTCACTCCGTCGTGTGGATTCGATCTTATGACTGCTTTGTCTTCTGACTTTGCAGCACAGGCTTCTGCGGTTTAGCCCGCAGCGCCACCACGTCCCCAATGGGTGCCACTATGCTAAATGCACCAAGCTATCATGGGGTGGACCTCTCTATGACATGACCTTCAGATGATTTCAAGGACTGAATGGATCTCTAATGGAGAAGGTGCTCCCTCGGGCAGAAACATCCTTAGTCTCTCTAACCCTGTACTGTTTGACTTACATCAGTTTAGGCAGGATTGGTTCCTAGCTCCACCTAGGGATGGCTGGTGTTCCTTGGTAACCTCCCATCCAGATGCTAATCAGGCCTGATCCTGCTTAGCTGCTGAAATCAGCTGAGATTTGTTGTGTTCAGGGTATAAGGGTAATAGCCAACTCTGGTGGTCTTTAAGAATTCATATCCTGACAACAAATTCTTAACCCTTCTATGGGCGTAGATGTTCAAATAGACTGACTGGCTGGCCAGAAGTGGCAAATAGGTGGCTTTCAGCAAAACTTGGTAAGGGAAAGCTGGCTGTGGGGTAAAGCATGAGTCCAGAGAGTGAGCAGTAGACCGACAGCAATGTGGTCGCCTTTCCTTAACACACCGCCTTCCAGATCTTTGGAACGGCGGTTCTTCTCGGCTCCAGTATGGTCAGTGTGCAAGGATGATGGGAGTTGTAGTCTGCCAACACCTGGAGGCTCTCCATCCCGGGAATACTGGGTAGGTCAACGTGCTTAGAAAAGAAGGTTGATTCTGGAAACAAGGCTTCTTGCTGGAGTTAGAGCCTGCTGAATAAGGAGACAGAGCTGACGGAGCTGACGGATTGATCGGATGTTCTGCCTTTAGGTGAAACCTTTTTCCATACAGGAGGTTCTGGTTTAAGAAAACTTTACAGGGGAACTCCTGATGTGTCTAGTAGGAGACAGACTTGGTACAGTGGTGCCTTGCACAACGATTGCTTCATACAACGATGAATTCACACAGCGATGGGTTTCTTTGAGGAACTTCCCCCATCGTTTAACGATGTTCTCTATGGGGGAATTTCACTTAACAATGTCCCTTTTTCGCTCCTGTAAAAGTGTCTTAAACTGTTAGAAACCTGTTTTAAATGCTTGCAATCGTTAGCCCACCTCCTGAACCCTATGCAAACTTAATTTGGTGTTGTTCTGAGTCGTTAATTTTTGGTGATTTTTTGTTTTTCCCTCATTGAACTCTAGTGAACTGTCCGTCCAATGCATTTCAATGAGAGCGAAAACAAAACGGCTCCAGTATGGTCAGTGTGCAAGGATGATGGGAGTTGTAGTCTGCCAACACCTGGAGGCTCTCCATCCCGGGAATACTGGGTAGGTCAACGTGCTTAGAAAAGAAGGTTGATTCTGGAAACAAGGCTTCTTGCTGGAGTTAGAGCCTGCTGAATAAGGAGACAGAGCTGACGGAGCTGACGGATTGATCGGATGTTCTGCCTTTAGGTGAAACCTTTTTCCATACAGGAGGTTCTGGTTTAAGAAAACTTTACAAGGGAACTCCTGATGTGTCTAATAGGAGACAGACTTGGTACATGTCTGGAATCAGCCATGCCTTTAAATTGGTAGGAGTGGGGAAGCTGTCTTTTAATGGAAGCTTGTTTGCCATTACAGGTTCCCTGCCCAGTGTCTGGCTGTCCTCCGAGCCTAATCTGAATGCTGCTCATGCAGTTCTTGTCTGTTAACCTTGATAGATCGCTTAAGGGGGTCTTCTTAAGGGCTGCTTTAGCTTTTTGCTCTTAAATCTGTGTTTGCAGGCCACCGAGAACATGCTCTTGGCACAGCCTCCGAGATGCAAGGAGCAAGTGAAAAGAGGTGTGATCCTGATGGTCCTGAAGCTCTGGAGCAAGAAGAGACCCCATGTGTAATTTGCACAGGTCGGAAAGATGGAAGCAAGAAAATTAATCTTGAAACAAAGGGGACCTTTTCCTCCCAATGACAATCTCAACACATCTGCCTAAAGATTAAGTCCTTCGCCCACTGCCTTGTATGTCCAGATTGTTTGACACCAAGATTTGACACCCTCCTTCCATTTTGACAGTCTTCCTTCCCCCATAAAGCAGCAGATGTGTGGCTTCCTGCCACGTGGTTCAGAGCAGGCAGGAACCCAACAGCAAAGCTCGCAAGCAGCCAGTGAGGAGAATGGGCAGATGGGCAGAATGTTAGATTATGCCAGGGAGATGTCTGAGCCTGGTAGGGTTCTTCACCTTGACTTGGAATGAAAGGAAAAACTCTGAGGAAGGGGCTTTTTAAGGTCTGCTGGGGACAGAGTTTGCCTTTGGAAGTAAGCTGGCTAATTTAGAAATGTCTGCCTGTGTGACACAGTTTCCAAGACTCATGGCACAAACGGCCTCTTTGGTATTGGAGATGAAGTGCCAAAGCCTAGCTGGGGGTTATCCCTAAATACCTAATAATATTGGTGGCCTACAGGTCATGTGAATAGTAGTGGATGAAGCAGATCATGGCTGTAACTTCATATATTCAGTGGAACACTTGCCTCGCCTAATGTAAAGACAGGGGGAGCCTTATTTTTGCTTTTGCCAGGGTAACACAGCATTTGCGGACTTCAGCTCTGCAAAATTAAGTTGCAGGTGCTTTGAAGTTTCTTTGAGATTCCTGAGTGTTCTCTCTCTTTCTTCCGGCAGATGACGGAGATCCCCTGAAAGAGGCGGGAGCGATGCAGATGGGTGCCTTTTATACGGAGCCCCAAAGTCGCGTGGAGGAGGAGGAGGAGGAGATGTTGACTGCAGCTCGTGCGCCTCCGCCCCGTGGGAAGGGAGAACGCCCTTACCCCTGCGGCGAATGCGGGAAGGCCTTCAGCCAGTGGTCAAAGCTGGTGCGCCACCGGCGGATCCATACGGGTGAGCGCCCCAACATGTGCTCCGACTGCGGCAAGTCTTTCACCCAGAGCTCCCACCTCGTCCAGCACCGGCGGACGCACACGGGCGAGAAGCCGTACGTCTGCGGCGACTGCGGCAAAGCCTTCTCCTGGAGCTCCAACCTGGCTCAGCACCAGCGCACCCACACGGGCGAGAAGCCCTACGTCTGCCGGGACTGTGGCAAGGCCTTCTCCCAGAGCACCAACCTCATCAAACACCAGCGCAGCCACACCGGCGAGAAGCCCTACCGTTGCCCCGAGTGCCCCAAAAGCTTCTACCGCTCCTCCGACCTCATCCAGCACCAGATCACGCACACGGGGGAGCGGCCGTTCAAGTGCGAGGAGTGCGGCAAGGGCTTCACCCAGAGCGCCAACCTGGTCAAGCACCGGAAGATCCACGCGGGGGAGAAGCCCTTCCGGTGCAACGACTGCGGCAAGACCTTCATCCAAAGCTCGGAGCTCATTCAGCACCAGCGCACGCACTCGGGGGAGAAGCCGTACCAGTGCCAAGAATGCGGCAAGCGCTTCGGCCACGGCGCCACCCTGGTCAAGCACCAGCGGCTGCACATGGGGGTGGAGCCGTACCGCTGCGGCGACTGTGGCAAGACCTTTGGGCTCAGCTCGGCGCTGGAGCGCCACCGCCGGTGCCACAGCGAGAGCCGACCCTACGCCTGTGCGGAGTGTGGCCAGAGCTTCTCTTTGGCCTCCAATCTCACCCTCCACTCCCGCATCCACCGAGGGGAGAAGCCTTACCGCTGCGCTGACTGCGGCAAGTGCTTTGGAATGAGCTCCACCCTCATCCGCCACCAGCGCATCCACACGGGCGAGAAGCCCTACGCCTGCCTCGACTGCGGGAAGGCCTTTGTCCGCAGCTCCCACCTCACCCAGCACCGCCGGACCCACACGGGTGAGCGGCCATACCATTGTGAGGAGTGCGGCCGGCGCTTCTCCCAAAGCTCCAACCTCATCACCCACCAGCGTATCCATATGGAGGAGCGCCCGCACATCTGCCATGGCTGTGGGCGGCGCTTCGCTCAGGAGGGGGAGCTGCAGCGCCACCAGCAGGAGGAAGACGGGAAGTGCAACGGCCAAGGGGCCACCGGAGAGCCGGAGGGAGACGCCTCCGACGTAGGTGCTGACAGTCCCGTGGATGGTCGTACGTCAGCCCCCGGTGAGGAGAGCGGTGCCACGTGTGCTTTTTGTGGGATGGACTGCAAAGAGGCCACGGAACTGGAGCAGCATCAGCAGACGTTCCATCCTGGTTGTCTGTGCGACGTTTGCGGGGAGAGCTTCCGAGATGGTGCGGCGTTAGCGCGCCACGAAGAGAGCCACACGTCTTACATCTGTACTCAGTGTGGAAGGAGCTTTGGGGACGCTGATGCCTTGACGCACCATATGGAGAGCCATGCGCCGTTGATCTGTGGCCTCTGCGGGCAGAGCTGTAAGGATAGCTGGGCCCTGGCAGCACACGAGAAGCGTGCCCATGCAGCGTTCGGCCACAGCAAGGCACTCGCCCTTCGTGAGGAGAGCCGGAGAAGCAAAGGAAGCTCGAAGCTTAGGTTTGACCGAGATTCTCCCAGGGATCTTGCCTGTCTTGATTCCAGGGGGAACTTTGGCCAGGGGACTGTCTCCGAGGAAATGACACAGAGTCCGATCTGCCTCAAACGTGGGGAGAGCTGCAAGGAGAGTGTGGGGCTGGAAGAGTGCCGCCCGGGCGGTAGGAGACCTCCCTCCTGTTCTAAATGCGGGCAGGTGTTTGCCAACAGTACGGCCCTTCGCCGCCATCAGATCACTCACAGGCAGAAGAAAGCCTACAGGTGCCCCGAGTGTGAGCATTGCTTTCCAGACCTGTCGGCCTTTGCTCAGCACCGGAGGGAGCACAGCCGGGAGAAGCTGCACCCGTGTGCCGAGTGCGGGCAATCCTTTGCCGACACCCCCGCCCTTTTGCTCCACCAGAACAGCCACCTTGGGGACAAAACCCACAGAGGCCTTGAAGCTGGAGGAGCTGCAAATCCTGACCCGGGTCCTAGCACGCATCTGAAGAATTGCACGGAGGGATCTAGCACACGTCTTCCTGCATCCCAGGATACTTTCCCTGGAGACGAGACTTCGGATGCCCGTTTAGCCTCTAGCTTCCATCACAGCATCCCGTTGAAGGATCCGCTATCTAGGAGTGTCTTGGGTTTTTCTGCCCCGCAGGGAAGCCCTGCAAAGGAGGAGGCTTTTGACAGAAGACCTCAGAAGATGCCTTCAGAGGAGACGGGATCCCTGGGTGGGCTTCTTCAGGACAGCTCAGCGCACACCTCGAAGCAACCCCCCCACCGGGAAGAGGAGTCTCACTCGGAGGGCTCTGCTTTGAAAGAAACCTCCGCCGTTGCTCTGCCTCAGAAAAGGGCCTCTGCCACGGAGAGGCCTGCTCCGGTTTCCACCGAAATGGCCGCTCTGATGCGGCGTCCGAGCACCAAGCCCTACAAGTGCCACGACTGTGAGCAGAGCTTTGCGGACGCCGCCGGCCTGTCCCGCCACCAGAAGACTGGCCACGCCAAGGAAAGGCCGCTGACGTGCCTGGAGTGCGGGAGAGGCTTCCTAGAAAGGCTGGCTCTGATGTGGCACCAGGCGGAGCACGCGGCGGAGAAAGCCCAAGGCATGCGGCCGCCTCCGCCTGACGAAACCTGGGACGTCGGGGAGAAGGATCTTGCCGGCTCTCTGGAGTTTGGGGAGAGCTTCACAGAGATCTCGGCCATTCTTCTGCAGAGGGGGGCTCACGTTCCCGAAAGAGGTGCCTCACAGCGGCCAAAGGACTGTGGGGCGGGTGGGAAGCCAGACTCGGGGGAGGCCTCGAGTCCCTACTTTCGTCTCGATCTGGGGAAAAAGCCGGGCGCTGGCAGCGTGTTATCCCAGCGTCGTGTTCAGCGGGACAAAGGGAGATTCCTTGTACATTCGGAGCCTGGGAAGAACTCTAGGAAGAACTCAATATTGTTGCAGCACCTCCGGAACCACACAGCAGAGGAACCGTGATGTATGGGAATTATGGGTCCTGTAAATTGCTGCCAGGTGGAGCGTGTACCTCCTGTCACTCTCCTACCCCAGTGCTCAGGGCATATTACCATATTTTTCAGTGTATAAGACTATATTTTGTCTAAAATCTTTAGACTAAAACTTGAGAGTCATCTTATACATGGAAGTAAGGTGAGGAGAGAACAAAAACAAGTGGAGGGGAAAGCAGGGATCAAAGCGATCCTGCAGCGCTTTGATCCCTTTCCCCCTCCACTTGCTAAGCCCCACTTAGATTTCTTCATTTTGGATTAGAAAAGTGGGGAGGGTATCTTATACATGGGGGTGTCTTATACATGGAAAAATACGGTAATTGGAGGGGGGGCAGATAGACTTACCTTGGGCTTTTAATTCTGCCAGGGGCCAGAAATGTGCCCTGGAAGGAGAGGCAATGTTATAGACATCATAATTCTACGGATGGGGTATCTGGAGGAGGACAGAATTGAAACAGGGTGTATTGTAGCAAATCAGAACAAAAAATGAGGCCGAGAAACCCTTCCTTTCTTTAGCAACAGAATACAGTGCAAGTCTACCTGTCTGAGTCTTTCTTTTCCTTTTGCCCATTTCTTCCTGCATTTCCTCTCTTCCCCAACTCTGATCTCGAAGACCTTTTGAAGGATAATTTAAATTCAAATCTATGGAATGATTTTTTTTTTTACAGAATCTGATTTGTGCTAGGTTGGAAGGGAGTGTTGGGTGAAAGTGCAGAGGATAAGCAAGAAAGGCCGGAGAGTCTGCCAAAATTTAGTTCCCTCCCCTTGCACTGAAGTCATTGGACATGTTGCTGTTTGCATGGAAAGCTACCCAAATGCTACCTTGTCACGTGCAGGTGAGGGGTGGCATCTTCTTGGTTGTTTCTGTTCACACAACCCTCTGTCGTGCAGGTAATCGGACAGGTTCTGAGTTTGTGCAGAGATGTATTTGGTCCCTCCTTGTGCCATCCGAAGTCTTATTTATTACAAGGGGGTGATTTGTGTCTTATGCAAAGGCAAGCTGGAGATGGTGTGGAGCTACTGGAGGTATAGCTTTCCACCTTGTGGAGTGGATGTGCCATTTGGATTTGTTTACACTAGCTTCCTGTTGTAACAGGAAGCCGCCCTGGTGCTGGTTGGGAATTTTCCTTTTTTAACAGGAAGCTTGGCTGGAGCTAGGCCATGAAGCTTGCGAGCTTGGCCTTTTTTGCAGGTGAGTGAAATTTAGGTGTCCGCAGGTGTCAGTTTGCCAGGTAGAACTCTCAGAATAGAGAATTTTGCAAGTTGGGAGTCCAAAAATTTTAAGTGGCACATCCCTATATAATGCTCCACTGGTTTAGTGGAAAATGTGGAATTTTAAGTGGCACATCCCTATATAATGTGGGAGTCCAAAAATTTTAAGTGGCACATCGCTATATAATGCTCCACTGGTGTTTAGCAGGTTTAGTGGAAAATGTGGAATGATCCCTATATAATGCTCCACTGGTTTAGTGAAAAATGTGGAATGGGGTAGTTTTAATTGCTGGAAATTAACTCTTGCCCAAAATGGCTTCTTTTGGCACTTCCTATCATGTGATGACTGATATCCTAGGCACTGTTTATTATGTGATGTGTGGACCACGTCCTGTTTTGACCACACTAGTAAGATTTTGAGGGTGCTGTTTAGGAGTATAGCCTTGTACTTGCTTCCTGTGTCATGATTTTGTTGATAACAGCACCTGGAGTAGATGGAATCAGCAAGTTTGAATATTCCACTGATATATCTTCTACTTCTTTGATTTCCGCTCCAACCTAGGAAGTGCACAAAAAAGTCTATAAAGTGAAGTTAAGAGGGATCTCATTAATTATGTGTTCCATGGCTAGACCTCTTTGGGCCCAATGTAGGCTGTTTCCATCAGAGTGGATAAAAATAAGTGATTATTTAAAAATCAAATTGATTTAAATCACGATTTAAAATTTAAAAGATCAAGTTGTAAAAATTTAAATTTAAAATCAAATTTTAAAAACTGAAACATACATTTTAAATCAAGGTTTTAAAATTTTTAATGGTCAAATTTCCTATTTTGTGAACATAAATTACGATTTAAATCAGTTCGATTCACATCAAATCCACCCTGGTTTCCAGATTTTTAGATAAACATTGTTGTTTAGCTTTAAAGATGTCCAGAGACAAGTTTGTTGTGCAAAGAAATCAAGAAGTTGACTTTTTGCAAACAGGAAAAATGCTAGAGGTGTTGTCCTTTCATTCTCTGCCCTTAATCTGTGGAACTCACCGTTGCAAGGAAAAGAGACCAATGATAAGAATGTATAAAAGTATGTATAAACCAGGCACATTGATTTTTATCATGAAGTCTGTGGAGTAGGCAGCTGTTCCTGTTTTATAGAAATGGAGTTTCGGCAGGGGGGTAGAGTTGCTTTGGTTAAAATCAAGTGATGACTAGACCCCCCAGATCTGGCCTCCCATTTGGCAACGGCTCAGTTCAACACTTCACATACTGGGTTGTGTTGGCTTTCTAATCAACAGCTATGGCATCTAAAGAAAGGTGGCAGCTGCACAGGCCAGATGGCCTTGCATTATCATAGTTGCCATTTTGCATCTGTAGTGGAAAAGGAGTTCAAAAGATGGATGGACGTCACTATGGGTCTTGTGGCTTTCTCTGGGAAAGGTGGGAAATGAGATGCAGGAATGGATGGACCATAGCACAGTAGTGTAATACAGCAGCCCCTGGATTCTGATGTTTTCCCAGCTTCTGGCCCATCTTCTCTACCTTTAGATGTGCTAGGTGAAACTCACTGATTATTAGAGATAGTGTGTGTGAAAGAGAGGTAGTCAGAGATACAGAGAGAGAGAGAAAGAGAATAAATAGGATCTTCTTGACACATTTGGAAATCGGGAGGGTTGTCTAGATCACACACGTAGTGCATCTTCTCACCATGATTTGTTTTGGTCTCTGTTGGATTTTTAAAAAATATTCCCCACTCTGGTAAAATTTTTAGGTTAAACAACTAAACATCTACCTCACCAATCCAACCTAGGCCTTGTCAAGCACTTTGCAGGTAGAAGATGTAGTAAAGAGGAGAGGTAATAGTCCTCACAGATATCAAAACTATCTGTTTTGACAGTGGAACTCCCCAACACATGGTAGACATGAGAACAAGTTCTTGACTCCTCACATAAAATAGATTTTCTATACCTTAAGGTAAGCTTCAGAGAATTTTTCTTTACCCATGCTGTTATTTTAAACTGATACCATTGCTGGTATATCGTTGATTTCAAGCTCCTTCCCAACTCTGGCATCTCCCTCCCCTGGTTTAAGCTGGGTTGTTCCTTGACCTCTGGAAAGGGATAACAGATCAGTGCCTCCCCAGAATCTCTGTCATGTGATAATCATGTTCAGTGGTGGCTCATAAGTCAAACTGGGGGATTGGCTCACCTGAAAATTTCAGGCCGAGCCTGTCCCCTGTATAAGGCCATGGGCAACCCATTTCCACAATAAGAGTGTAAAGGAGGGTGGCAGAGACCAGCAAGGATTATGGGTATTCACCTGGACAACCAGTGAAACCTCCATGGACATTGCCTGTTTGCTTTGAGGAACCAGCACGCATGCACACACATCCCATTCCTCTCTCATCAAAAGACAGATGCTCTCCCAAATCATTCGGGGTGGACAAAAATGTGGGCCATCCCAGGGCTTAAAGGCGGCCCTGAGTACCCCTGGGGTTCCCCACATGCCTTTTTGTGTCCAAAAGTCCTGCTGTGTCCCTCTAGGGAGCACAACAGGTTATTTTGTTCTTGTGAAGCTGGCTGGATCTTTTGTCCTTGTGAAGCTGGCTGGATCAGTGGTGAAGGTTGGGAGTTCGATTCCCCGCTGTGCCCTCTGGGAGAAAAGCCAACCTGGGTGGCCTTGGGCCAGCTGCACCATCTCAAAACACTTCTAGAAAAAGAGGATGGCAGACCACTTCTGAGTGCTTTCTACCTGGAAACCCTGAAAAGGGTACCATATTTTTCCATGTATAAGACTATAATTTTGTCTAAAACCTTTAGACTAAAAATTGAGGGTCGTCTTATACACGGAAGTAAGGTGAGGAGAAAACAAAAACAACTGGAGGGGAAAGCAGGGATCAAAGTGATCCAGCAGTGCTTTGATCCCTTTCCCCCTACACTTGCTAAGCCCCACTTAGATTTCTTAATTTTGGATTAGAAAAGTGAGTATGGGGGGTATCTTATACATGGGGACATCTTATACACGGAAAAATACGGTAACCCCGACTCAGAATTGACTTGACTCACACATCATCATCATTCTCCCACTCACCCCTTGCCTTGGATTCCCCCCTCCTCAATTTTGGGGATTTTTTGGGGGGGTCCATTAGAAGGGCATTTTCAATTGAAAAAAGGCTTTTAAAAAAGGAGGATGTTCTATGGATTGGCAGAGTGAGGGTGTGGACCTCTTAAGACCCAGAGATATGTCTATGTGTACATAACCTCTGGACCTCTGGAAGCGGTCACTCCTGCACTATCTTGTCCTGTAGCTGGAGTCAAATTTATAACCACCGAAAGTGGACACTGAGTGAATCCCACTTTGGCCACCGGTCAGACAGGCTTCTCTCTGGTTGCATCAGCCTTGCGTCCGTCCTGGGGCGAAGGTCACCTGATGCTCCAGCAATGTGGAAACTGAACCGGCACTATCCTGTGGAGGGGCTGTTTGAGGGCTGATGTAAAGGGTGCTACCAAACCCAACAGCTGCTTTACAGCATGGGGGGCAGTGGCTGCAAGCCAAGCATGCTTGGATCTTCTTGGACTTTGAGATAACCACGTCCTCCATATGATCTGAAAATCATTGTTTTTTTGTTTGGATGAGAAACGACGGAAGTGTCCAAATCCTTTGAGCCCAAAATGAACAAGTTGTTCATGAAATCAACACTTTGTTCTTTTTTCCTTCTCTGTCCTCTTCTGCTTCTCTGGTCTTTCCTTGTCTCGCTCTTTTCATCCTCCCTTTTCTTTCCATCACATGGATTATTTCCCAAAGGGTTTCTCCCCTTCATTTCTGAAAGCGAAGTCCTGTGTGTCTTTGCTGAGAAGTAAACCCCGCCGGGTTGGGTCGGATTTTGTTTTGGGTCACCGTTAATGGCATTGTCGCCTTTAGCACTCCTGCTTTGTAACTCAGGGCTAATGTCTGGTTTCCCCCCCACGCTCCGGTCCCTCGGCCAGAAGAACACACGAACATTTCCCTTGGAGCATTGATTTCATGATGGTGAAGGGAGCTCTCTGTATATTTATGCCTGTGACTTTTGGTTTGGAAAGGGTGAGGGTCATTGTGATAGATAAATCATTACCTCTTTTGTGCCCTCTAACCGTTTCTGCTTGAAATGGGTTTGGTGGTGTTGTTTGCCACTGAATTCCCCCCCCCCCAAATTCTAGGAATGTATCAGACTTGAGCATAAAACCGTTTTATGCAAATATTTTTGTGAGATGTTTCCTTTACGGCTATCGTCAACACCGCCGCTGCTACTGTTTTTAATGGTATTCTTCATTGTTATCTTTATGATGACTTTAAAACCTCCCTATGAACAAGGCCGATAAAAATCAATGATTTAAAAAACAACACTCAAATTGATTTAAATCGCAATTTAAAGCATGGTTTAATTTTAAAAAATCATTAAAATCATTAAAATTAAAAAAAAATTAAATCATGATTTAATTTTTTTTTAAAAAATTAAAATCATTAAAATTAAAAAAAAAATTAAATCATGATTTAAATCAAACCCACCCTTGCCTGAGAAGCAGCCCAGCAAGGCCTCATCTACAAGCTAAACTAATTTCAAACCTGGAAGCTGAGAGAACATTTGTTTGTTGACGAAACTGTTATAAAACAAAAGCGGCCGCCTTTATTCATGAGGTTATTCATATGGGTTCTTTTAAGGAGAAAGGCGGGTAAAATATTTTAAATTAAGTAAATAAATAGCACATTGAAAAGAAACCCAGGTTCATTATTTTTAGTAAAAAGGCTTATAAAAGCTGCAGAGGGTGAGAGAGCGATTTGGAGGAAGCTTTTATTTCTGTACGTGAAGGAATGTTACCGAAAATACCCTTATACAGTAGGTTGATGTCAAGAGCTTGGTTTATTCATTTAAAACTGTTAGACCTGCTGGTCGGCTGGAAAGGCTCTTAGAAGAGCTGACATGTCAGTACCGACAAGAGAAAGCCAGCCCATACCTTCCAATTCATAATCTTTAAAAAGTTGCAACACAAAAGAAAGAGGTGAGGAGGAGGGAAAAGGAAAACACTGATGGTCATATGAGTTGCTACTGCCACACATCATCTCAACCATATCCCTCTGCTGGCTTCATACTTGATATGCTTGAGAAGGAGACCTGAGTATGTACAGATGTGGGCAGTACTAAACCCTCTAGAAGAAGGGAATTTTAGGGCGTCAGTCATGGTCTCTTCATATGGAGGATCTCTGTGGTCTAAAACCCATTTACTAGACCCGGTGAATCAGTTACAGAATGGAAAGTCAACACCTAAGTAAACTCTGCTGATTCAATGAGTCTAGTTTTAATCTATCAATTAGATTTGGGTGCATGCTGCTTTTTATGGGCATTTTTACACACACTGAACTGTCAACTGTGTCTCCAAAGTGGGTGGGGAGTTATACCTTGTGTGATCTACGTTGAGTCTTTGAACACACTGAGTCTCTTCAAAATCTCCTTTCTTTAAGATAAGGCTTCTCATATGCATTCTGAGCTGCACATATCACCTAAACAGGATGAAAGAAGGTTAATTTTTTTATTAGCAGGAAGAATGACACCCCATACACAACATGATACCAGTTTGCAACCAATACTACGAACGTTACTCAGAAGCAACTCTAGCTATGATTACCACCATTAGAGATATTTTGCTATGCCTTAGACTATACAGAAGATGTGGCAGATCCTAATGTACAGATGTTTTCTGAAAGCTGAGTTGGCACGAATAAAACCCCTGGATGAGTGACAAAAGTTAATGGCTTTCTTAGATGGTGTTGGAGGAAGTTTTAAAAAAACCATTAATGCATTTGTTAGAATTTTGTCTTCTAAATGTCTAAGCTCCTCATTGGGTTGAGCATGTGGGCTATTCACCAACCTCCATTTCATTCTCAAAATAACCCTGTGAGGTAGGTAAGGCAGAGAGAGGCTGAAAGCGAAACTGGACAAAGATCTTGCCTCTTGAATAAGGCCATGAGACAGCGTGTATCTCAGAACAGCTCGGCTTGACCTTGCTCAAACTACTGCTCCCCCCTCACAGCTGTTGAAGGTGTGAGGCGCCGGTCCTCCTTGGCATCTCTTTGCCCAATGTGGGAGCGAGTATCTCATGCTGAGCCAGAAAAGCTTCATGGCTTAATTCCCAGGCTGCAACCACTACACCTCATGGCCTCTTTTTGCTGTCCCTAAACAAGAGCAGAAGGTGGTGAGCCTTCTCAGGTGGCTTGCTCTCTTGTAAATCATCCCCTTTCCTATTCTACTTCTGGAAGCCACCCTCCCTCCAGAAAAAAAAGATGTACCGTCTTTCCCCGAAAATAAGACAGGGTCTTACATTAATTTTTGCCCCCAAAATGCATTATTTTCAGGGGATGTTCCATTTTTTCCCCATGGACAACTAGGTAAAGATTCCCGTTGACATTTAGTCCAGTAGTATCTGACTCTAAGGCGCGGTGCTCATCCCTGTTTCCAAGCTGTAGAGCCGCCATTTGTCCGAAGACAGCTTTCGTGGTCACGTGGCCAGCGCCACTAGACACAGAACGTTACCTTCCTTTGTCCGAAGACAGTTTCTGTGGTCATGTCAGCATGACTAGACACGGAACGTTACCTTCCCACCGTGGTGGTACCTATTTATCTACTTGCATTTACATGCTTTCGAACTGCTAGGTTGGCAGGAGCTGGGACAATCGACGGGAGATCCCTCCATCGTGCGGATTCGATCTTACGACGGCTGATCTTCTGACCTTGCAGCACAGAGGCTTCTGCGGTTTAACCTGCAGTGCCACCACGTACAACCATCTACGTTTATTCAAATACTGTCATATCATCTTCTGGTTGCTGCACAAGGGTGGAGGACGGGGTTTCACTTCACTGGGTCTTATTTTGGGAGTAGTCGTTAGATGATGAGCATCCTGAAAAATCATGCTAGAGTTTATTTTCAGGTTAGGTCTTATTTTCGGGGAAACAGGGTAGACACCTTCCTGAAGCCAAGGATACTTACATTAGCAATGGTGGAAGTGCTGTCACATTGCATACACTGAGATGGAGTTGCTTTCTTCAACCCTCGTGTTAAGAGGCTGGATAGATCTAGCTCAGTGAGTTAGGTAGGTTGGGAGTTCGATTCCCCCCTCTGCCTCCAAAGAGAAAAGCCTGCTTGGGTGGCCTTGGGCTCAATCTCAAGGCAACCCCAGAAGAAAGAAATGGTAAACCACTTCGGAGCATTTGCTACCTGGAAGACCTTGGAAAGGGTTGCCATAAGTCAGGATGGAATTATTGCGTGGGGCAATGGGAAGGAGTGGTTTGATTAAGTGGCTCAGAACCAGGGAGATTTGGGTTCAAATCCTGATTCAGCTATGGAGCTCAATGAGTATAATTTAACATTTTAATTATAAAAACTGCATGTAAACAATCCCCTTTGTGCAGTTCTTGAAAACGTTAATGAATCCTCTCTACTGGAGATACAACTTCATAGCCGAGTTGGTAAGAAAGATTAAAGATTGCAGTGGAGGGAACCTTGGCTGGTTGGACCCAGATAGGGTGAATTTGATTGAATTTTTTTTTTTACAATCTAAATTGTGATTTAAATCAATTTGATCTTTTTAATTTTTTTAAATCATTGATTTTTATCCACCCTACACCCAGACCCGAGTTCACCTTCTTATGCAGGCAAACTTGGATCGCCCATTAGGGATCTGGCTGCGGAGCCAGAGGCGGGGAGTTCGATTCCCCACTTGTGCCTCTTTGACAAGCACTCGATGGGGATCCCTTCCAGCTTTGCAGCTGCAAAAGTTCTAAATAAAGTCACTTTTAGGTTGCCTACCTCGCGGGGTTGTCGTTGAGAGGGTGAAGCAGAGGAAGAGAGATGATCCATCCCCGCCTGCAGCTGTGACGAGACGAGGTGGTGGTGGTGGTGAAACTTAAAAACGACCAGGGAAGCGCCGTCCACAAGAATGCAAGTTAGTGGCTCTTTTAAAAAAGCCAAGTTCAAGTGAAAACTACGAGTCCCAGAATGCTTTTCGACATGCCCTTCCTATGTCTCCCTCTAAAGGAAGAGGCGTCTTCTTCTTCTTCTTCTTGGTCTTTGCATAATATTGATGATGTAGGAGTTTTCCACCACCCCCTCCTTCCTTTGGCTTGGAATTTCTCCCCCACTTCCGTTTGCATTTATTCCAGAGGATCCGAATTGTTGCGGGTAAGTAAATGCAGTCGTGAGCATCCAGAAAAATGGGTGCTTGGGGGGTTTCCTTGCAAGGTGCATTTGGAGAAAAAAACCGAATTCATGGTTCTGTCTGTGCTATTCGTAGCATTTCTGATCGCCTTATCTTTAATGGCATTTTCTTATTATTATTTAAAATCCATGTAATTGTGATGGAAAGAGAAGGCATCCTGCAAACATTCTCCTGATTGCTAATCCCTAGAATTACCCCGCAGAACGGCACAGCTTTCGTTTCAGTTATTTTTTGGAGGTGATCCCATGGCCTGGTTGGCAAGAAATAAAAATGGGAGCCCCGTTCATGCTGGGGGCGATAGTCCAAGCAGTGCATTTTGCTTTTTGCATCCTAGATCTGTCTCTTTTTATAAGTGCCCTGATTTTAGGTTTGGGGCCTCCTAGAGTGGTCAAAATGGCCAGATAGGCGGGGTATAAATAGAATAAGTAAAAATAAAATAAAAATTATGGACACGGAGGGGTCACCTTTGCCAAAGCTGCAGGATGGCGAGGAGAGGCAAACTAGCTACAGGAATATTGGAATCTAGCATTCTGCTCCCTCTCTCTAAGCTAACGTGAGAACTAGTAGAAAAAGGAGAATTTTAGCAGTGAGGTGGGGTTATGGCCCTGACGGAGTAGAAAACAACAATTTTATAGTTCTTGTCTTCATATCCTGCTTGGGAGCTTCCCAGAAACTTTTGTGGGCTGTGGAAAAAAACCGATGAGAGGGGTACAGAGTTGTGTATTATTATTTTTTTGGAGGACAAGCCCCAGAATTTCAGCCCAAATGATAGCAATTCATTAAATCTGGGTTGGCCCCTGAAGCGGACCCTGAAAGGAAATTTTAGAGGAGTCCCATGTTCTGATCACAGGTGGAGCTGTAGCCAAAATGGTAGAAGCCGAAATAGCAGGATATGGTGTCTGGGGTAATAACCGGTATTGTTTCCAAACGTAATTTAATCCTCACCTCTTATTTATTTCATTACCCCTGCTTATAAGTTACTTTCCCATTCTTTTCTCCAATAAACTCAAGGCAGAAAACGTGGCGTTCCTTCTTACCTTTTCAGATACACCGCCTGAAGAATTCTGGGACTTCTCGTCCAAAAACACAAATTTGCAGCCCTCTAGGAAGGATTTTTAATTCCTGCCTTGGACAGGGGTGGGGAACGTCAAGCCTCAATTTGGTGCTTCTCCTGAACACCATTGTCTCCACCTTTTAATTACCGTGGTGCCTCGCTAGATGGTGATAATTCATTCCACTGAAATTGCTGTTTAGCGAAATCATCGTCTAGCGAAAAGCATTTCCCCATTGAAACCTGTTTAATGCGTTCCAATGGGGAAGAATCGTCGTTGTCTAGCGAAGATCGGTCATAGGAAAGCCGCTTTGCGAACTGCCGATCAGCTGTTTAAATTGCTGTCTTGCGAAGCTTAGGTCCAGAAATCACACGTTTTGCGAGCACAGAGGGAGCTGTCAAAATCATTGTCTAGCGAAAATTGGTTTGCGAAGCAGGGACCAAACATTGTCCAGCAAAATTCCCCCATAGGAATCACTGTTTTGCAAATAGCTATAGCGATAGCAAAAAGTCAACGTCTAGTGAAAAAACTGTCATGTGGGGTAACTGTCTAGCGAGGCACCACTGTATCTTAGAATTGCAGAGCTGAAAAGGACCCTGTGGATCGGGTCCAGCCCCTGTTAAGGAGGCACAAGAGGGGAATCGAACTCCCAACCAGGTGCCTAAGCCATCGAGCTATCCCGAGGCTTTTCTAAAATGTTGAAATGTCACACCTCGTGTTTTGTTACTTGTCTTTAGGAACATTTAGCTTACAATATCTTGGTATTTGGGTCCCACCATTTTGACTAAGGCCTCACCTATCACTGGAATACAGGCTCCTAAAAATTTCCCTGACATGGAAGGGCCTCCTCTTCAGGCTGAAAGAGGCCAGCCCCAGTTAGACTGGGAGGTGGTGGCTGATCCAGAGTGGCTCTTCATATGTTCTTGTGTCAGAAACTGGGAGAGATTTGGCCCATGGAAGAACTCAAGGCTGAGAAAGCTGGTGCAGAATAGCGGTTAGGGCGCTGGATGGAGACTTGGGGGGGTCACGTTGAGGTCCCCATTCAGCTTTGAAAACTCAGTGGGTGACTCAATCACTCCGTCTCTTAAGTGTCACCTACCTTACTGGGGTCTTGTGGGGAGGAGAGTTGTGTTCCGTGCCTTGGGTTTGTGGGAGGAAAAGTCAGAAAGGCAGGATATAAGCATTGCTAATAAAATGTTGTAGTGGACAGAGTGACAGATTAGGCCTGGGTTCAAATTCCCGTTCAGTCATGGACAAACTCACTGGGGGTGTGGAACTGGTAAAACTACTCCTTAAATATCTCACTTATCTTGAAAGCCCTATTAGGGTTGCTATGAGTCCATTTTGGCTCGATGGCACATCACATCATATTTTTTTTCTTGCTCTGTTTGGAAGCTGTACCCGTTACCGTAAATACATTACAATTTTGCTATGAGTCCATTTTGGCTCGATGGCAATCACATCTTATTTCTTTTTTGTTGTTCTGTTTGGAAGCTGTACCCATTACCGTAAATACATTACAATCGTGCCCCGCTTGACAATTACCCTGTTTAACGATGAATCCGCTTCACGATGATGTTTTTGCGATTGCAAAAACAATTGCAAAACTATGTTTGAATGGGGTTTTTTCGTTTAGTGATTATTGGTTCCCTGCTTCGGGAACCAATTTTTCGCTAAACGATGTTTTTTCAACAGCTGATCGGCGGTTTTCAAAATGGCCACTGGCTCTCAAAATTGCCCCCGCTGTTTTTAGGAGGCATTTTTCACAAGACAGGCACCGGAAAATGGCCGCCCTATGGAGGATCTTCGCTTTACGATGAGGTATTTCACCCATTAGAACGCATTAGCCAGTTTCTAATGCATTATAATGGGCTTTTAAATTTCGCTTGACGAGGATTTCGCTTAACAGCGATTTCAATGGCCCGGATTATCCTCGTCAAGCGAGGCACCACTGTACATTAAATATTTCCTATTTCCCCCAAACAGTGAAATATAGGGATAGCTGTATAGTTATTGATATTGTAGCTGTGACTTTACAAATGCTGCTGGATCGTAACTTCCATAATTCCTGACTGTATTGCCCCAAACAGTGGATAACAGCAAACCCTATACATAGCATGGTTTTTGTTCCCTCTAGTGGTCAGTTCTGGCAATAACATCATGGATATGTGTATTTCTTGTTTTTTTTCTTTTAATCTTTTTAATATCAGACTGCAGATAAGTGAAACTGCAGATACCCATCTTGTGAATATAGAGGTCCTGCTATACTGTATTCATTTCTCCAAGCATGGATATTATCTTTGCTTTGTGTGTTTGCATTTAACTCCCCTCTCCCCCTTTCTTTCTCCTCCAGGAGGAGCTGCGATCCCGTAACAAAGAATGAGCAGAACGGTTTCCGGGGAAAAATGGATTGCTATCTGGAAAGACCAGAAGGGACGGGCTCACACTTTGTGAAGAAAGCCGGTTTCTCTAGCTTATCCCTTTCCAAGAAACACCAGGCTAGGAAGTTGGAGAGTCAACAGTGGTTGGATGGAAGCCTGCAGCACCATAGAGGAGAACCAGAGTGGGAGGAGGCCTCTGACAGCAGCTCGGTCGTTTTTGTTGAAGAGAGAGGAGACATTGGGTGTATGGCTGATTTAGTGGATGCTGGGGAACTCTCTACCCAGATGGAGGCCACGATTGGGGAAGGATCCTTAGGCAATGACACAGAGGTATTTTTTAACCCAAAGAGCCCTCTCCAAGGGGACTCTTCAGCAGAAGAATCTGAAGAAACCACTCTCCAAGGGAGAGATGGCCGTGAAGCTGAATTGATCCTGGATCCAGAGGCAGCTCTGGTAAGGGAGGATTCTGAGGAACAGGACCCTGAAGGCATTGGCTACAAGGGCGGATCACCGTTTGGGGTCGAATCTGGCATGACTCTGGATCCAGAGGGATCCAATGGAGAGGAATTTGAGGTTTCTTATTGGAGAGGAGCTGCTATGGGGGAAGCGGATGCTGGGGGGAAATCTGGGCCAATGGTTTATCCTGCAAATTCTCCTCTAAGGGGAGGATCCAGCGAAGAGGACTCAGAGGAGATCCACTCTCCTTCGGGCTCTTTTTCCAGGAACGGGGTTGATGAAGAGGTGGTTCGTGAGTGGGCCGTGCCGGTGGTGGAGATGGTAGCCGAGCAACGGCCCGCAAAGCCGCGCCATATCTGCAGCGAGTGTGGCCGTAGCTTGGCCAGCCATTCGGCTCTTGTCCGCCATTGCCTTATTCACACCGGGGAGCTCCCTTACGCCTGTACAGAGTGTGGGCGCCGCTTCCGACAGTCCTCGGCCTTGGTCCGGCACCTTCGGGCGCACCGGGGCGAGCGCCCTTATGTTTGCGGTGTATGTGGCAAAGCGTTTGGGGTCCGGTCAGCTCTGGTCCGTCACCAGAGGGCGCTGCACTCAAGCGAGAGGCCTTACGTGTGTGGGGAGTGCGGGAAGGCTTACGCCGACCTGTCCGTCCTCACGAAGCACCAGATGATTCATGTCAACGGGCGGCCATTTTCTTGCCCTGACTGCGGCCAGTCCTTCGGCCATCGCACCACCTTGACCCAGCACCGCCGCATCCACACAGAGGAGAGGCCCTACCGTTGCACGGAATGCGGGCAGACCTTTCGGCAGAATTCGGCCCTCGCCAACCACCGCCAGGTCCATTCGGGGCAGCGCCCTTTCTCCTGCCAATACTGCGGCAAAGCTTTTGCCGGCCGGCCCACGCTGGTCCAGCACCTCCGGACTCACACGGGAGAAAAGCCGTACACTTGCCCCGACTGCAGCCGGCAGTTCAGCACCAGCTCGAACCTTCTGCAGCACCGGCGGAACCATCTCGGGGAACGGCCCTTCACCTGCTCCTTGTGCGGCCGGCGTTTTGCCCGGCGGCCCGACTTGGCCCGGCATTACGTCACCCACGCCGAAGGCAGCATCCGGCCTCACCGCTGCGGGGAGTGCGGGAGGCGCTTCGCGGAGCTGGTGGACCTGGAGCAACACCGAGCGACCCACCGCGGAGAGCGGCCTTACGTCTGCAGCTATTGCGGCAAATCCTTCACAGAGGCCGCCACGCTGGCCCGCCACCGGCGGTCCCATCTGCCCACCGCCGAGCAAGCCTATAAGTGTGAGGCGTGCGGGCAGACCTTCGGGCAGAGCTCGGACCTCCTGGCCCACAGCCGCGTCCACAGCGGGGAGCGGCCGTACGCCTGCGGCGACTGCGGCAAAGCCTTTGGGCGCAGTTCTAACCTCTCTCGCCACCGCCGGGTCCACACCCACGAACGGCCGTACGCCTGTGGGGACTGTGGGAAGAGCTACACCCAAAGCACCCACCTTATGGAGCACCAGAGGCAACACACGGGGGAGCGGCCCTACGAATGCGCAGACTGTGGGCGGACCTTTGGCAAGAAGGGGCACCTGGTCTCCCACCGGCGGGTTCACCGCCTCTCACTGGGACCCCCTTTAGAGGACAACGATGCCCTTGTGGAGTGCGCTGATTCAGACAGCCCGCAGGATCGAGATTCTTGTGCGGCTGGAGCTTGGAACGTGAGCGAAGGGCAAGAGGAGGGTTTGATCTGACCGCGGGTCAGCTTCTACAGTTCTTTCGGCATACCGCCATTCCACCCCACAACCATAGAATGGTCATGTTCAAAGTGATTCTAAAGGGGGGGGGTGTCATCTAGACTCAACCCCTGCCATGCAGGAAATATAAAGCTGAAGCACCCTCGACAGATGGCCATCTTAAACACCTCCAGAGAGGGAGGGTCCATCCTTTTCTGCGACAATCCGTTGCGACCGTTGGACAGCTTGTACAGCGAGGTGTTGAGCAATGATAAAGAGCATATGTAGAGTTCTTCACTTATGGGGCCTGGCACCCATGTGGCACTGTATCACCATTCCTGTGTGTCTGACATGGAAAAATTGAGTATTTTTGGCTGGAGTCAGGCTGATGTAAACTACCTTTTAGGTTAGAAATCTTGGATAATAGTTTTGGCTCCCCCCCAGGATTAAATATAGACTTGGTGACTGGCTGTTGTGAAAAAGAGTCACTTGCAGGACAGAACCTAAATCCCTTATATAAAATCCTGAATACAGAAGATCTCTCTCTTCTCCCAGAGTGGAAATTGAAACCCAACAGTCTTGGGCACATCACAGTGCAATCTACCGTCTGCTCTAACCACCGACTCCTACTTCCTTCCTAGAATAAGGTCTGCTCTCCCCTCCTTCTGTTCAGACTTTTTCAGCTCCAAAATGCATAGGAAAAAAATAACAGCAGTGGATTTTTCAGTCACTGTCCTCTGAGATGTATAAATATTGCTCCCTGGTCTCTCATTCTGGACAGTTGAGGCTCAGTGATCAGATTCCAAGTTCTGGCCTGAGAAATTGGCTCATGTCACATCTTTTGAGCTGCTCTGCTTCGCTTTGAGTCTGCCAACAACAAGGATGTCCTTGTATATTTAGCAAGTCTGAGACTTCATTTCGGTTTGTGTGTGTGTATTAAAAGTCTGAATTTTTTTTAGCTTCTGTTGAAAAAAGGCCAGTTCAAATATTAAAAATCAATGATGATGCCCCCCCAACTGTCCATGATGTTGTATTTTAGTCCTCTGGGAACGTATCGAGAAATTCACATAAAGCGAGATTGTGGACGACCATTTATTTGCTCCTTTTATATCCTGCCTGTCTTTTCTCCTCCCGATTTTCTTCTCACTTGAACCCTGCAAGGTGGAGCAGAGCGGTAGCCGATCACCCTAGTGAGTTTCGCGGCTGGGAAATGCATCAGGCAAAAGCAAAATAAAGATGGGGAAAAATGTTAAGGCATCTTAAGGACTGGCCGCTGTGTTTTCATGTGAACTTTTGTGAACAAGTCCAGTTCCTCCTCTGAGGAAGTGGACTTGTCCACAAAAGCTTACATTAAAATATCAAAAATATGTATTTTTGCCGGTGGTCTTAACTTTTTACAATATGCACAGGGCCATTCATAGCATAAACCAGGGATTTCATGTAACCCAGAGATTAGCATTAAGTGCGTACTGGAACCAAGACTTATTTCTGTGTGGAAAGGGAACTGGCAAAAGTCAAAATGAGGGACCAGGTCTCTGGATGTAGAAAGATATGAATAATCTTTCTGCATTCCAAGACCTGGCCTCTCATTTTGACTTCTGCTATCATGGGATATAACAGTTGCTTTAGTTTCTACCAAATGCCTTTAGCATAAATCATTATTACACATCGCTTTCCACTGCAGAGTTTGGCTGAAGGTAAATATTTGATTCAGGTTGGAATGGCCTTTTGTGTACAGATTAGGGCGGGATTTGTACTTCATGTCTGTAATAGGCATACAAATAACAGGTTGAAATATGAAATACTTGGTGGGCTGTGGGCCGTTCTGTAGGGTGTTTTCCTCATGCCAGATCATACAAGACTTGAAGAACAACAGAGCTCCACATATTTCCATACCAGGTCCAGTTCACAGTGTGGTTGTTTTTAGGAGGGGATCACAAAGTTAATTACACCACAAAATCCTTCAAAATCATATAGGGGGTGGGGGCAGTGCAAGACACTGTCTCCAGAGGTGAAGGACAGGGTGGTGTTTCCCATCCCATGGATAAAAGCCATCTGGGCCAGTGAAAGTTATTTTTGTACTTGATCTGTCCCATCTGAGGCAGCAGGCAAGTTTGGAGTGGTAGCGGCAGAAAGGACGATCCTGTACAGCTTCATTCTCCAAGAAAACGTTCACAACTCAGGATTTCCACTGTGTAAGTGAGATATATATAAGGCTGGCCCTACTATTGGGTAAGGGGAGGACCTGCCATATGGCATACCCAATAGGAGGGCTGGCCTTGATAGCAAAAGAAGTGAATACAGTCAGGGATGGGCATCCTATAATCTAGAAGATGCCGGACTGCATGCCAGTGAAAGTTATTTTTGTACTTGATCTTTCCCATCTGAGGCAGCAGGGATGGGCATCCTATAATGTTCTAGAGAAGATGCTGGACTGCAACATGCATCATCCGTCACCATTGGCTACTCCGCTCAAAGGTAACATGTACATACTGCTCAGATGTTGCTTGAACTCTGAATGAGTTGTCAGTCATGATAACCCATGTTATGTGCTTGGTTGACCATTATGTTCCTAACATGGACAGTGGATCAAATGAGAAGGCATTTTATAAACAACTTACATTTGGAAGGAAAAGCATTACATTTAGATTTATTAAATAAAAGTCAATAGTACTGTTATTTTCATATACAGTATATATTCACGTTTAGGGACACAGGCCATAATTGCGATCTACCAAAAATGGCTGTTATTCACAGTATATCATCAAGAAGGATCCATCATGGGGCAGGGGAGGTATATAGTCTCGGGTTTATCCCTTGCCCACCTGAGCTTTGTGAAAGACCTGAGAGTTATCATCAGTACTGAGCTAGACATATACAAATAGTCTTGACTGTAAGGCAGTTTCTTTTGTCCATCTAAACATCTAAGCAAATTACATATTGGATGCACTCTGTCCTCTGAGGATGCCGGCCACAGAGACTGGCGAAACGTTAGGAAGAACAACCTTCAGAACATGGCCAAAGAGCCCGAAAAACCCACAACAACCATTAGATCCCAGCTGCAAAAACCTTTGCTAATAAATTACATATTCTTTGTCAACAGGTAGCGAACGTTGCTGAAGATGAGAAGTACAAAATACCCTAGATGTAGCAGTGCAGACGATTGAATTCTATACTTTTGCCACAGCGGAGGGCAGTCCAGGACATTTTTGTTTTCTTTGAAAGAGTTCTCAAGATGTTTTCCCCCTAAATTTATTTTTCTAGATTGAGTCAATGTTTGGGCAAGTGAAAGAAAGCAAGTTGAATTTCTTTGATTAGTTTATTCCAGGCCTTCTATTTTGGTGAATCTGACTGGACTGTTATGGTACCTATTTTGATATAGTATCTGAAGAAGGCAATTTCTGTACCCTTCTCCCGAGTCCTGCTTTCAGGGCTTGTCATGATGTGAAAATGACAGTATACTGCTGTTACGCTGGTGAAGCAAGGCAGAAAACCCAGGTGCCCACAGCTGCCTGAAATGTGCTGACAAGCCACGTCTGACTTGAGGTTTTTGAGGTATGTGTTACATTTAAGGAGTGATTTTATGAGTGCACCCTCCTTGTTTCCACGGTGGGCAAGACATCTGAACCCCAGGTCTCTTGAATCCTCGCCCATTCACAACACCCCGCTGGCTCTCTCACTTTATTAGGGTTTGGGCCAAGAGTCCGGGGTTCAAATCCTAGCTGGGCCATGGAATCTTCCTGGGAGGGTGGCGCAGAGTGCTGTGGTACTCCAAAGGCTGCTACCCTGCATCCTCGGTGTCAAGTACGGTACGCGCACACAAGCGACTTATTTATTTATTTGATTTATACCCCGCCCATCTGGCCTATAAGACCACTCTAGGCGGCTTCCAATATAATATGAACAATAAAATAATACAAAATATTGCATAAATAATACTGCAGTACAATAAATACAGTACAAAAATAGAATAGAAAACAAATACAGTGGGGTCTTGACTTGAGAACTTAATCCGTATTGGAAGGCGGTTCTCAAGTCAAAAAGTTCGCAGGTCAAATCTGCATTTCCCATAGGAATGCATTGAGAACCAT